GAATGCTGATGTACCGTGGCGCGTAGTGGACAGACTGGAATAAACAAACAAACTTTATCAATACTGATACAAGCTTGCACGTGATTCGGTGGGGCAACGGGATTAAATCGAGCACTTGCAGCGACAACTGCTGCGGACAAGGTGTCGATAACTGGAATGCAGCGAGACACTGCTGCAATGGACCGCTAGATATGAAACGCGGGGCACACTGAATACAGCGATTCTGGATACTGAAGACACGGGGCGGAGACGCGGAACATTGGGGATACACGACGATGACACGGAAGACGCATTCGACGGTACCGCTGAACATACACTGAATCTTACAACAATTTTACAAGCTTAAATACTCATCACAAAGGGCGGGACAAATCACAGGTCAAACTGCTGCGCGCTTCTGAATTGCTCCTTGCTTCTCCTGCGCGCCATCTTTTGCTCGCTCTACAGCATATTAGGTATGGGTTTTACTTACAAAAATGTATTCTTTTCCAGCATTGGTAAAGCAGAGGTCAGTAAGGTAGAATAAGCTATCAATAATGTGAGAATGCGGTAGACCGGTGAAAAGGTTGCTGAAACCTGCTGTATGTATATATTCGATCATACTGCCTAGTGTGGAGAGCTTTTGCACCACAGTTAGTGAACTGGTAATACTAAAGTTAGCAAAGGAATTTTTTCGGGCATGTTGATAACACGGGAACCGGAGGAGCTAGAAGACTAGAATTTTAAGGGGATGTTCCCCATTCAGATAGGTATTAATGAGTTCAAACCCAGCCCTCGGAAATGCGATGTACCCACGTGTAGACCCGTGAAATTTTTTTTCGGGTAATTTGGTAACACGGGAACCGGAGGAGCTAGAAGACTGGTATTTTGGGTATTAATGAATTCAAAGCTAGCCCCCGGGTATGAGTCATTCCCACATATGAACCTGTGGAAGTTTCGGGTAATTTGCTAACTGGGGAACCTGAGAAGCTAGAAGACTGGAATTTTGGAGGGATGTTTCCTGACAGTCCTGGCGGCCAGTCTGAAATTCTAGCTAGAAGCATCTGCCGGAAAAAAAAGTGCCGTGAGCGACAGAAATCTGCGGGGAGCTATGTAAAAAACGCATCTTCGAACGGCCAGCCTGTGCGTTGGCCAATTATTCTTTTTTTTTAACCACGAAATTTCGCTGTGGATGCTTTTGTTTGGTCCTCTGTTTTTTACCGGAAAGATTTTAGTTTTGACTTCTTTGACGCAGCTGATTGTGTTGTCTAAAATTTTCTAAAAACTTCAGCTTTAGCTTCTACTGAATGAAAAATGGGCAAGAGTTTAAAATAATGCGCCTTTTTTGTGGCTCCCTGTTTATTAGCGAAGAAGACATTGTGTAAAATTTTCCGAAAGTAAGGGCTCGTTTCGTTTAGCAATAAAATCGGTAATGTAATTTTTCTGGAGGAATAACTTTTCGACTAATCTGACCTAAAAACTAATATAAAGCTGCAGAAACTGCTGCACTATTTATGCGTACAAGCAGGCAGAGAAGTAAAATGTTACTGTTTCATGGCGCTTAGATAACAAGAAGTGGTCATCACATTTCTTTTCGACGATTTTAAAAAATGGTTTTTTTTTTTTTTTTTAAATAAGGTATTAACACAATCATTCTTCTTTATTTTGTTCCTTTGTTTGT